CATCCAAATATTCATGAATTAGTTCGGGAATTCTCACCACCCTTTTGTCGGAGAAGCCCTGAGAGGCTTGAGAGGCTGGACTTCGAAGCCGCGGGAGGTGCCGCGAATCAGCCGGAGAAGGCCGCGAGCAATACGGCACTGCTGAATCGGCTGCTGGACTCCTTGAAGCCAAAGGAGAGGCCGCGAAGTGATTGGAAAATGGCTGGAAAATTCGTTCCAAAAAATGTATAAAGATGTTCTACCTCTGGAAAATGCTTGATACACATGACATTATATACAGGACATCACATGATATGACACGACATTACTTGACATGACATTCCATGACATGACACGACATTGCTTGACATGACATCACATGATATGACACGACATTACTTGACATGACATTCCATGACATGACACGACATTGCTTGACATGACATTACATGACATGACACGACATTGCTTGACATGACATTACATGACATGACACGACATTGCTTGACATGACATTACATGACATGACACAACATTAATCAACATTATGTACTTGACATTACATGAAATGACAGTACGTGGCATTGCATCAAATGATTTCATATGAAATTGCACGATGTTACATGATATTGCGTTACATGACATTTGACATGTCACGACATTACATGACATGCATCATACGTATACAACCTGTATATGTATTACAGTAGGTATCTCTGTGTGTGAATCCATTGTCATGTGAGATCATTTGCCTGTTGAAAATGCTGTTTGTCATTGTTCGTCCATTGCCATATTCGTTGTTGGAGGGGCGAAGAGAAGCTGGTCATGGCATGGGACGCATAATCTCGATTTGCTGCAGCTGTTTTGGGCAGCTGACCAGGACACGCTGTACATTTCGGCCAAGACCTTCTGGCTGGCAGGTGGTGTCCGTCTTCTGAATGCCCACGACGTGACGCTGCAGTTGGATGGGACCCTGGAGTTTCGCGAAGGTGTTTCGGCAAAAGATGATACGCCTCTCCGGTAATCAAACATGTCAAGGGGAAACCCCCGAACTCAACGGAAGTTTTCATAGGAAGTCATTTGTGATAGGGTTTGTTTATTGCGATTTTTGATTGTATATCTATTCTATTTTTGAAAGGTTGGCCAACTGTCTGGGTGATTTCATGACAGGTACGGCTTCCAGTGTTTCGGGACAGCTACTTTTCTGGGCATTTTTGATCATTTTTCCTGTTTGGTTTCATGATCTCAGATGGTGGCGGTCTTTGCGCTCGGCCACAGGCAGGAGTGGCTGGCCAGAACAGCAGGGCAACGTGTGCAACCTGAACCCACTACAGCCCAAGCGATCCCTGTAGCCTGGCTGGTTGAGGCGCCATTTACCTTTGGTATCGATAGAAGGCGCTCCCCTCCTGTGTCACGCTAAACGTTACACGCTGCAAGGAACTGTGTGCAAGAAGCCTTTTTCATTGCCAACGTCTCCAGATTGACCTTGACTAGCAACCTGACCTGCACTGTGCAGAGTTTTAAAAGCTAGGAAGGTTGAAAGATGTTGAAAGTAAGTATATAAAGCACTATTGAGTAGCGAAAATCCTTTCTTAGCAACCGTGGTGCTGAGCTAAGGTGGCAACCAGCACGGTGGGACCCTGAATGGCAATGGCAAATCGTGGTGGGGAAACTTGGCGATGACTTCCATTTTAGGTCGATCGTAAATCCGGGGGGAAAGATCAACCATTGGTGTCCCGTTGGAGCCAGTTGAATCATGTTGAATCAACGTGAATCATGTTGAATCTTGGCCATTTGGAGCTCAACTTGGGACCTGAGACCAAAGGATATATCGAATATGCACTTCATGGAGAAGATCGACCCAGACTGCTGAGCATCTACAATGCGACGGATATCTTAGTGGAGAAATGGATGCTTTGCAGATAGGGTGACAGAGGTTGACAAAGGGCGTGGCATAGGTAGGCAAATCATTTGCACATGTCTTCCAAAGAGATCTATTGTAGAAATGCCTAGAGTCTGTAAGAAAAACCGCCAAGTTCCTCCCAAGTAAATAGGTTTGTTATCCCCGATCGAATTTCCCTTACAGAATGGAAGGGGTCGACCCTCTTATAAATGGGTTATCAAGAGTAGAAGAACCTTTTTGTAAGAATATATGCTTTTTAGGCATTGATACAAAGTATTGTTCAGATTTGTACATGTTTTTGATTCGCCTCAATCATTTGATAGCTGTCTTGGCTATTTCCGAAAAGGCCCCAGCCCACAGCCCTGAAGATACCCGTAGGAAAAAACCATATAGACTCCACATAGGTACTATATAGGTTAGGTTCACTACAAAATCCCAAGGTGTTGCTACCCTACAGGGGGGGAGTCTTTATTTTAGGACGCTTCCTGGGGCTACCAGCACCTTGTCAGGCACAGTTCAAGTTTTAGGGCAGCCATGGCAGCAATTTTTGGATGTGGTGGAGGCACCAACTTTCTTCTTGGTGTCGTGTTGGCCGAGGATGGCCGAGGATCTTTTGCAAGTTGTAAGTGTGACGACGTTCATGGCTATCTTATGTTTTCATTTTGTACATGTTCTTTCGTGTTCACATGTTACTTTTTTTGGTACTCATGTGATAACACAAACGCGAGGCATCATGAGAGGAGTTCTGGTAGGCATTGAAGCCAAAGAAACAAAAATACAAAAACATAAAACAACATGAAAGGTGGCAAAAAAATGGAATCCTTACAAAAAGGCTGCTTGAAAATCAACGAGTCCGGGAAAACCAGAAACAGGGAACCAGAAGTTGTTTCCTTACAAAATGATGCCCGAAAACGCTATCTAAAATCACAACTTCTTATAAAAAGGTCATTGAGTAAGATACAACTTCCATATCATGAAGAAAGTCGTCACCTTATAAAATGGTATGGGTGTTTGAAGTCGAATGCGGGCGCTAAAAACCTATGCTTTTTGTAAGGGCAAAAATTCCCAAAAACCAACTCTTTTTATAGGGCTTTTCAAAATCCCATGGAATTATACTACAAGAAGCCGGGTGCGACGTCTCCCCCCTAATTCGAACGGGGATGGTTTGTTTTGAAATCAACAGGATTCCCGAAACTCTGATGGACTATCATCATTTTTGCCTATTGAAATGGCCATAACTGGGAAGTTCATCCATATGAATCCCCCGTTTTCACCCAGCGTCCCATCCAGTTGAGCTCAGGCACTTCGTGAACTCGGCCTATTGGACCTTCACGGCCTTGGACGTGGCACGGCTGGAAGTGCGCTTCTGCAGCGTCAGCGCTCGGGTGGACAAAGCTCCAGAGCATAACCTGGGAAATCTCGATGCCTTCAACACCGATGGCCTCTTGGATGGTGCCAGGTACCCTAATATGATGATGTGATGGAAATTGTTGATGTTGGCAGTTTATTTGGTTTGACTAACCTTGCCTTTGACACAGAACGGGACTCTTCCCAGCATTTCCCAGAGTTGTTTCAGAATATGGGGGGGACAGCGGGTCACAAGCCTTACCAGTAGCTGGTCACCTAATGAATTCTGCCAAACTTGGATCAAAAATCTAAGGTTTTGATGTCTCGGGGAGAGACATTTACATCCACCATAGCGAAGTGTGGAATCAAGACGACTGCTTCACAATCCAACCGCGAGATAGAAGAGGCATTAACTCTCAATGCACTGAGAATGTGTCTTGCAGGCATAGCCAGATGCTGCAGCATGTTGCAACAAAGTTATGTACTAGACATTATAACACTGTGCTGTACCGTACCGTACTGCAATCCGATGAAAAAACTTATTCAAGCTTCCAAAGATCATAGTAATTCCAGACGTTGATGCCAATATTCGTCTCCAAGCGTGCTGAAGTGCCTGCGATTGTGAAGTGCTCGCCCGCAAGAAACCATCATGAACCGCACTAGGTTTTATCCTTTGGTCATTTAACCTGGCAGTGAATCATTGGTTCAATGGCAAATCACTTGGTTCGATGAATATTCCATTTACATTCCTATTGACAGTTGGGATCATTAATCCAGCTAGCCATATAACGACTGTGCAGAAGATATGTCACAGTGAAATCAGGTCCTCATCGAAAATGTCAATGCGAGTGGCCTTGGGTTAACCATTGGCGCTGCCCCTCGGAGAGTGGGGGCGGATGGTTGCCGGGGCAGAGTCCGGGTGGAATGGTCCAAATAGGCAAATAAAATCAAATAAGTACAAACCCAGCAATAGGATGTAAATGGGAACCCAACATATAAATCCAATATGATACAATATTCGGCTAAGGTTTCTTAGGGTGTCTTAGTCCGTAGGCTGAACGGATTGATGATGACCGTGCATATCTGCCAAGAGTTTCCAATAGTGAGGATGCACCCACCCAAAGTGCTTGGTGGTTTCAACTGCTTTTCCATTCTTGCGTGGATGGTGCAAATTTTCCATGTTGGGAAGGGTTGAGACATGTTGAAACTTTCAGCCAGAAGCAACTATTTGGATCCAGTGAGACTTGAATTTCTTGAGGACTAACAGACAACAATCATGCACTTTTGTGCATGTCGTATTGTGACACTTGTGAGGGCAGCATTCCACAACCTCATGTAACACCTCAGCACAATCATGAGTGTATGATTGAGAAGGCTTATGATCCCAAACCAGCAGTGACAGTCTGAGGCAGCTGCGCTAAGGTCTTGCCAACTCTTTTTCACAACTGCATTCGGAACGTCACGTTCCGCAAGGCCTATATGTTTCATACCTTCAAAGGACGGATATCCTGGGCGCATGTGGCAATTCGTCACAGCACAAGCAGTATGAGATCGTGGTTGAATCAACTGTGACTGCACTGGAGACCTGGAGGAATCTACATGAAATCCCAGAACTCACCAGAACCTCAGGCGTGGCCGTGGCCGTGGACACGACTTGGACACGACTTGGGATCCTCACGGCATGGCGTGAATCCCATGTTGCCCATGGTGCCCAGGCCAGCGGAGAAATCTCCAACATTTTGTACGATTCTTGGCAGAAGTAGAGTGAAGGCTGGGAAATCTGGAAGATGATGTCCTAATTTACACAGTTTTGTACGCTCAAGCACGGGGTGTCCTGTGAGTTGCAGCTGCTGGAGATTATAATATGCTAACCAGCAATGGAACCATATGTAGCCAGATGTGTTGCCCTTTTGGTTTGTGGTGTTGCAATCAGATTAGCTTTCACCAGAGCCAAGGAGGACATTTATATGGAGAGGCCAACGCAGGCGCGCCATCCAGCCATACACTTTGAGGTTTTCCATGACCATTAGGGGGAAACAAAACACTAATGACACTAGGTGACCGCATAAGATTTTATAAGGGATCATATAGATTCATATAGCAAGGTTAGCATGATGATGTGGCGTTTTATCACAATGCTAGGATTTTCATTGATGGCCAATGACATATATCCTTGCAGATGTTGGCGGGGTTCCCAGCAGGTGGCGATCTGGATTGGTCCAGCGCAGGAAGCCGACTCTTATAAGGTGGGAGACTTCCTGGTGGAGTTGGGAGTCGGGAGTTGATACGGGAGTTGAGCCCGAAGCAAGTCACCACCATCGCTCTCAAAAAATTTGAAGATTCTGCATGATTCCGCATGCTTAGGGAATCGTAGGACATGTTTCAGGAATCTGGACTTTTGTTGGGTCTGGGATGGTCTGGGTGAGTTCTGTTGCTCCTGGTTTCATAGTGCGCTGGCCTTTGTTGCCTCAGGCGTGTTCCCTCCTCTGGCCTGTGGTGCCCTTTGCGGGAAGCCTAGCCTGTAACCGTCGATGCGGCTGCCAGCAATCGTGAATTGATTGCTCAAAGCAACGAAAGCAAGGTTCAGTTTCATCAGGTATTTGTGTTGATATTCAACCATGATGGTCTGTTTTCTTGGCTCAATTTGTGGTAGTGGCCCATCCCGTGTTTTGAGGTGCCATTGGGTAGCCAATAATTATTGTGATCCATACCAAGAAACTTCATGGTGGCAACGGCATGGACCCAGCGCAGCAGTTACCAAGGTGTCATGCTCGCCGCCCAGCGTGGCTGTGCTTTGGGAAAACATCACCCTGAGAAGGGTGCAGGCTCCCTGGCTTCGCTCGGGATGTTGGGGATGACTTCCAGAAATTGGTGGGACCATGGAAACCCCTAAAGCCCTATATGGTTTCTGGTTAGGGGTGGAAAATAATGAAAGCCATTGCGCTCAGATGTTTTTGGGGCGACCCATGACTACCAGAGGGCAAAAAGAAATGGAACAATGGAACCAGGTGCCGTTCTTGGTGAGAAGTGTGTTCTCCACCTTTGGGATCCTTTGAGTGGAATTCATAGATGACTAAGAAAAGCACTCGATTCTGAAATGTGTGGGAACTTGGGCAGGAACATGGTCCCATGTAGCCGGTGGAAGCCCCCATTGGCAACTGCACAGATTAAAGCCACCTTGCTTTTTCCGCTTGGAGCTTGCACCCCCACAGGTTCACAATCCCATACAAAGCCCTGGCGTTATTTATGGCAATCCCAAGCGGCCCATGAAAAATATCACCTTCGAGATGCTTGGCTCGGAGGTGATGGCTGGGGGAATGGAGCACTTGCCACGTTTTGAGTCTCTTGATATACTGATATATCTTAAACATCTTAAACGTTTTCTTGATATATTAAATACTTCATCATCCAAAGTCTTCAGGTGTGATCTCCAGACATTCGGAAGCCAATGGATGTTCTTATCATTCTATAGTTGTGCTCATCAAGTGCATCGGGCTACAGGGCTTCCAAACATCATTCGCCGCTGCGCTACGCTGCATCTGAGGAACGTCGTGGTGGTGAATCCAGGCCATGAACCTTGGGGAGGGTCTTTCTACTACTGCGATGCTTGTTTGCAGTGTGCCTTTGGGATTTCTAATGGTTTCTATGTCATTTCGTGCCAACCAGCGCAGGTGTTGATTTTCGGATATGCGACTCAACCTGCCTACTGTGGCCCCTGGCATGTGCATGGTAGGGAATGGGAGCTGGTACCTTCTTCGAAACTGAGAACAGGCATCACTGAGAGAGAGTTCCTGACCGCAAGACCATCCACCCTTGAACCACCAGAACCTTTCCATGTCCTGTTCCGACTTAAGGAAGGTGTCAATGGCTTGGCACTGAATGGGACCACGCCACTTCCGCCATGCTTTCAGACCAGTGCTTCTACCCTGTTGACGACCTAAGAAATCTGGTCGCCACACCTGGTGCCGCCAAAGGCTGCATTTGTCGCATCAGTGCAAAAAATGCGGCTACGGTTGAAAGGTGATGAAGATGTGGGGTCTGTCCAGCATGTTTCAGCCGCTGCTGACATCCAAGTGAATGTGGGTTGTACGGGGCCTGTCCTCATTCCAACATATTCCAACCTCTTTTTTGACCTTGTTTTGGTTTGATTTGTGCTCCAAAATGCTCAACATGTCCTCAAGCAGCCATAAGCAGCGCAGTACTGAGGTATTTGGGCATCGGTGCCACCATTGGACCGTTGATTGGCTCCAAGCTGGGCACCCGCCAATCCTTTGCAGCCTCCACCCTGGCCACTTGCCCTACATTTGCAGCGTTTGGATGGTTTAATCATTTTTTATATGCTTTTATCTAAGGCTAAGTCATTATAAGCCTCAATCCTCTTCCTCAAACTATATCGACTAGAGAAACTTTTGCCCAAAAGAAATGGATGTCTTGATGATGCTCAGGTTTGGCATGTGGGCCAAACAATGGATATTCAAAACATAAAAACAAGGAATAACGAAAACATATATTTGATTAAGATGATTTAAGTTGTTGAAAAGGGATCAAGAAATTCAGATGTCTTGCGCTGGTGCGATGGTCTGGCTCTCCAATGCCTTTTCCATCCTGTGGTCTTGGAATCTCCTTGTCCTTTGGACCCTTGTTCCGTCCTCCGGTGCCTTACACCACGCCTAAACAACCCGAAACAAACCCGAAACAAACCCTAAACCCTGCCAGGGATCTGGTATACGAGAAAGCCCTGCAAATATTGCCAAGGAGAGATGCAAATGCTAATTGTTCAATATGCTGTAACTATTGTGCTAGTGATCCCTCACTCAAGATCTATCTTCCAAATGAAATCGAGCTGCTGTTGGTGCCGCGTTTCAGCAGCTGAGATGTTTGCAGTAACTTCGGTCTATGTCCGGCTGAAGCTTCCGGAAACCTTGTCCTTGGCAAATCGGAAGCTCGGCACAACTTAAAGGTAACACATGGTCCAAAAGGAATAGTCTCAGGTGGATTAGAACTATTTTCTGGGGATGATTGACTATGGCTTGGGATGGCTTTGGATTTTTTTGGGGATTGTTAAGGATGACTTGTTTTCTGATCACTTGCGACTTGTGAGATTATTATCATCTCAATACCATTGGTCATAAGGATAGATGTGTGGAGAATTGCTGATGCCTTGAGAAGGGACTGGGATGACCGCTGTGCTGTGCCCAGGAAATATTTCAAGTCCGGCTCTCAGACCTTGACCGTGACATGGCGCAAATGGAGACGAGGGATTCTCCATTGTCCAGTGTCACTCTCCATTTGCAGCATTTTTTGCAAGGTTTGAACATATCAATCCGGTGAGTTTTCTGAAGCTCTTCCAGAACAAGACCCTGGGTTGGCTTGCGACAGCACCCCAGCTGCACGCATGAGACTTGCTGCATTTTGGTCGGCTGGCAAGAGTTTGGTCAAGGTAGGTTCGCGGATTCTCGAAAGTTTTGAGTGTTGATGTAGGATCATACAGCCATAGCTCCTCTTTGTCTGACTCTAACTCTAACTAGCCTTTTCAAACTCGCACCTTCAAACTGTTTGAGATTTCACATCAAACATATCAAAACTGGAATCCTTGAAGTTGTTTGAAAACTGTTTGAAAACAGTTGTTTCCTTTCCTTAACTTCCTCCTGTGTGTTCGGGGGTCTAGGCGACTGCCCTGCAATCCTTTGGGGACACAGCACCTTGGCTCTGGATATGGCAGCTTCCCCTGTCAGAAAGGATTGGTTTATTGGTAGCCCTGAAAAAATTAAAGAATAGACGTGGTTCAAGTCCAAGTGCATGTACTACGGAGAAGCTTAAAGAATTTCATAAAGGCAATGAGTTTGCTACTGCTGTATGCCTTGTGAGGTGCTTTGAAATGCCTGAGTCAGAACAGTCAGAAGCCAGGTGAATCTTCTCGACCTGAACAACATCTTCTTGATCAAAGTTCTTCACTATGGGCCTCAAGAGTTAGGTCATTTTGCAGCTTAGCAGCAGGGACCTTCCCAGTGAAGTGAAGAAGGATAAAATATGATAAAATCACCTCAGTCCCTCAGTCAGTTTCACAAGAGCTCAAGCTCTGCTATTTCGTGAGGTGATCGACAAAAGCCCGTACCCGAGTCCATGAGCACTTTAGCATGAAGCAGCTAGAAGAGCAGATCCCATTCAAAGCTTTCCACAAAGATGCTTTGATTTTCTGAGGTTCTGAAAGTGTCCCACCCTGCTGTGACCCCTACTTTAATCACCCATCGTGTTTTGTAGAAGATACCTGGATTGATAACGCTATAGGAATAAGAGGTAGGGTGTGATAGGAACGGAATAGACAAATATTGTAGCCCTTTCATGCACTTTCTATATCCGTCGGTATAATTTCCGATGTGAAGTGAAGTACCCTGGAGAGTATCATAATAGGCATATCCCAACAAGATCCCGACGGAGAGCGAGGGAGAGACTACACCAGACTATTAGCGATTTCTGCCTATTAGCCACTTCTTGAGCAGCCCTAGCCCAGCAAGCACCCCCACAATGCCAAGTACATCTCAACTTGCTCAGTGTCCTTTCTCTTTGAACCGCTGTACGATGGGCTCTGAGGCAACAGCTTCTGGACTTAGCGCAGTGGCTGGAGGATGCTTGGCCAAACAGAATTTTTGTTCAAGCTCCGGTGCCGGTAGATGATCCTCGACCCATCTCAAGCACATTTGCTTCAGCTATCTTCAGCTCAGGGAGGGTCACATTGCATTTGCTGAAAAAACTCCAGAAGCTGAATGTGTCAGCGCTCAAGGCTGGAGACATCTGGACGCCAATGCCATCTGCCTAACTACCACTCAGTTTACATACGTAAGCCTTGCATCTTGGGAAATATCATCTTTGGCGGAAATTGCCAGCCTTTGCCCAAGAGGTGTCTACATTCTTCGCAAATTCTATGTGGACGGCTGGTATGGTGAGCATGGGTTCCTCAGTTGCAGAACATGGAGCATTCTTGAAGTCAGACATTGAGCACTCTTGGCTGGCAGGGTTGGCCCGAAGGACATCGCACCTCTCCTTCGCCCAGCACTCAAGTGAATGGCAAATTCATTTTAGAGAGTCAACAGGTTGCCGTAATTATGTGTACTGTATTTATCTATATATATTTCATATCAATTCATATGATCCATTTTTATCGTATGATCGAAGGAAGTTTAGAAGTCAAACTTCCGACAATATGGACAGATGAAAAGCAGAGTAGGGCAGAGGCAGAGAGAGGAGAAAGATTAGAAGAGAGAAGAGTAGAAGAGAAAGAGTCAGAAGAAAGAAGATGCAGATGCGCGAAAAGGTAGGAAAGTCGCGAAACACTGTGTTTTTCCAATGATTTGTGGCTCCGGAGGGTCAAAAAGTAGGCTCGCTAAAGCGGCGGGTGCGGAGCCAGCTGGCCAGATGAGAGATGAAAAATTGCACGCCGTTGTGGCGCGAAGCACATTTCCAAGTCAAAATGTACAAAACACACCATTCTCGGACCACTTTTGGAAGTTGAGATGTCGAAAAGGTGCACGCCGATGTGGCGCGAAGCACATTTCGAAGTCAAAATGTACAAAACACACCATTCTCGGACCACTTTTGGAAGTTGAGATGTCGAAAAAGTGCACGCCGTTGTGGCGCGAAGCACATTTCGAAGTCAAAATGTTAAAAACGCCAGGGATTCGAACCACTTTTGGAGGTTCAGATGTCGAAAAAGTGCACGCTGTTGTGGCGCGAAGCACATTTTGAAGTCAAAATGCTAAAAACACCAGGGGTTCGGATCACTTTGGTGGTTCAGATGTCGCTTCGCGTGGCAGGCGCACAGGATTGTGAACCTTATCAAAAGTGAGCAAAACAAGAGGGTTTTGTAGCATTTTCAACTACAACCACCGCTACACCACACTACACTCCAATACATTACGCTACACTACAACTACAACTACATCTTCACTACATTCTCCTACACTACACTCCACTACACTCCACCACGCTAAATTACACTACACTACACTACATTACACTCCACTACACTACATTACACTACACTACACTACACGACCTTCCACTACACTTCACTACATTACACTACACTACACTCCACAACACTGCATCTACAACTACACAACTACACTCCACTACACTAAATTACACTCCACTACATTAAATTACACTACACTACACTACCTTCCACCACACTACACTCCACTACACTACATTACACTACACGACACTCCACTACACTACGCTATATTACACTACACTACACTCCACTACACTACATTACACTACACGACACTACCTTCCACTACACTTCACTACATTACACTACACTACACTCCACAGCACTACAACTACAACTACACAATTACACTCCACTACACTCCACCACACTAAATTACACTACACTACACTACACTACACTACACGACCTTCCACTACACTTCACTACATTACACTACACTCCACTACACTACAACTACAGCTACAAATACAACTACACTCCACTACACTCCACTACACTAAATTACACTACACTTTTACATTACGCTACATTACACTACATTCCACTACACTCCACTACACTACACTACATTACACTGAATGACACTACACCACAGATAGACAGGTAGACAGATAGATAGATAGATAAACAGCTAGGCAGATAGACAGATATACAGATGAAAGAGAGAGATAGAGAGATAGATGGATGGATGGATAGATAGATAGATAGATAAATAGATAGATAGATAGATGGCTAGACAGATAGATAGATAGATAGGTAGGTAGATAGATAGATGGACAGATAGACAGACAGACAAATAGATAGAGAGGCAGCTAAATAAAAAGATAGATGGATAGGTAGATAGATAGACAGATAGATAGATAGATAGGGAGATAGATAGACAAATAGCGAGAATACTAGACAGCTAGATAGATAGATAGATAGGGAGATAGATAGACAGACAGATAGATAGGTAGACAGATAGATCAGTAGGTAGGTAGGTAGGTAGGTGGTAGATAATCAGAGAAAGATAGAGAAACAGAGAGAAAAAGAGAGAAGGAGTCAGAAAGAGAGAGAAAGAGAGGAGACCTCTAGCACCTTTCAGTCCATCAGTGGCTTCGCTCTGCCATCCCTGATTCACAACAACAAACCTCTCCTATAGGTTTTCTATTTTTGAAACTTCCGCCACTGCCTTGTGCGGTACTACTGGTATTGTTTAAGTATTTGATATCAGGTTATAAAGCATTATCTTACATGTCTTATATCATATAATATGAAATGTATTATGTAATAGCATGCTAGCATATATACAGTATATCATCTGCAAATAATGCCAGCACATGTCCAAAGACCGAATCCCTGGATTCCCAGGCCATGTTTCTCTGGACCTTCGGGCAACTCCGGAGCAACTCTTTGACAACGTATTTGCAGCGCCTTGGTCGCTGATCATTCACCTGGGTGAATGTTGATGAGTTGAATAAGCTGATGTTGGTAGAGCAATGCCCATGTCTTCAAGGAAAAAAACATGCTCATATTATCGTAGAAATGGGGATGGTTTGCAATTGCTTTCCTAACACTATTGGGGACGAGACGAACTGTTTTTTAAGTAATTATATATATGTAGATATATTTATATATGTATATATGTTTTTTTGCCGTGAGGACCCTCGATTGAGATTTTCCTGATCATTCGAACCATCAGAACCCCTTCTGAGGCGGAGAATCATGTCTTGGAATCAACGAATTCCGACCCTCCTGTGGTCTTGATATGTCTTGATATTGTTGAATATTATGGAACCCGGTTTGAATTTGTCAGAAATGACCTCTTTGTTTGACCCCTATGTAGAAACTAATGGGAGGATTCAAGTGCGGTAATTCATGTATACTCTTCATCCCCATTACTGGCTTCAATACTTCAAATGGCGTTCCCGGAAAGATCCGGATAGCAACGTCCCCTCACAGGACCTACGGCGCTGCGGAAGGTCTAGGCCGTGCGGAGATTGTTGTGGCCACAGCCAACCTTTTGGCCTACGTTAAGGATGGGCCGGAGATGGGGAGAGTTGGTCAGCGTCGGCCCCAGCCTGCCTTCGCTTTGCTTTTGCATGGGGTTAGTATATGTTTCAATACGTTTTGATGTCCAAAGAGTTTCCCAGGAAAAACCACACACTTGGGGGCAAGCTCTTAATGTGTCAATTTTGGGGGGCATGCTGCAAAACGATGCCGTGCTTCGCGTCATGATGCAAAATCCCTAAATATGAATTTGGATAATTTGGTTGTTTCTTAGCCCAGACTTCGGCGGGTGCAAATTTGTGGCAACATGGTTCCAATCACTATGACTCACCCCTGGTTCTTTGGGGCAATACGTTTTGTAGCTGTTATTTTTGCTTATTATTTTCAGATCTTCTTGAAAGGGCGTGTGTACACCCGTCTCGGCCACAGATGTTGCATCTTCATGCATCTTCCACGGCAGGTTTTGGCTCCGCTGCTTTATAGCAACCTCTTCAGCTGGGCTGCTGGGACCGGTTTCAATTTGCGTCAAGGAGTAGAGAGGATCCAGTGACTGAGGCCATATCCTCCAACAATCGTCCTTCGGGTTTGCCTTACTTCGCCGTGTCCTTAAGGTTCGTGAGCTGGGCGCATTTCGAAACCAGTTAAACCTTGAATTGATTCATATTGGTGGATATATGGTGGATATTTATGTTCCATGAAGTTCAAATGTATCGCACCCCACTAAAATTGAACTCTTCGATTTTTTCTCCTGGAGCGCCTCTGGGTATCTGCAAACAAGGGCCAGGTTGATGAGGAGTTCTTCGATTTCACGTTTAAATGGGGGTTAATCGGGGTTACCACATGAACCACCACTTCCTTGTTGGTTTTCATCAACCCGAAAAAGATGGAAATTCATGGTAACTGAATGTAACTCATGGGATTTTAATTAATAGGAATATCATGGAATATCATGAGATTATATAGTAATGTTATAATATTCTTATAATATTCCAATGGTTATTCCACTTAACCCATCTCAACCCCAATGGTTTCCACAGGCCAACTCGGCCGAGGTCATTGCCGCGATGACTTTGTTGGCCCAGGGCTCCTTCGTCTTGGCGGCGCCCTAGGCGGTTCCCGGCAGCTCATCTCCAAAGAGGGAGAGCAGCGGTGACCAGGACGGCCCATGAATCCACTGGAGATCAGATCTACAATGTGTTGTAAGTTATTATTCTTATTTACATACGTATACATATTTGTACATATTTATACAGATATAGGGAGAGAGAGAGAGAGAGAGGAAAACCAAAAAATTGTTAAATCTGCAATATTCTGCAATGGTTGTATATCATGCGTGCCTACATGATGTCGTGCTTTGGGGGCAAGTTTCACTGGTGTCTAGCAATGTATGCTGGATCAAAGAACAGCCAAAATGGATCAAGGTGGTTTCAAGTCCTGCATGTCTTTTAGTAGTAGCCGATCCATGGCAGGCTGTAGGCATTCTTTCTGTGCCTAGGCTGAGCTCAGGCCAAACCCTGGCGATGCTAGGGGGCTCCAAGGGGTGAAACCACTCGCTTCAGCGGAGCTCGTTTCAAAAAGTCATCCGGTGCAGCCTTTGGAGGGCCTTGGGGTAAGCATGCATGACGCGCATATTACCCAAACCAAAAACATTCATCTCTTGCAGAGAAGTGCCTTTGCAGTTACCTGAGCGGGTTGATTGCATTTTTCCTATTTTTCTTGAAGTTCGAAGCCTGCTGATGATTCTTCAATTGCTCGCCCGCATGCTTCTCTCAGGTAGAGCGGTTGCTGCAAGCTTTGTTGATTCTGGGGACCGACCTTAGAGATGCCAAGCGGTTTAGCGAGAGAGACAATATATTGGCATAGGCTACCCGTAAGTAGCAAGGAACACACCCAGTGCAACAAAGTAGCCACATTCCACATGTAGGCACAGGTAACCTTGCAAAACAACAGAAACGCCACCTACACTTTGCAACGCTTTCTTACCGTAGATAGCCCTTTTGAACGCAGCATTCTGCGGCCCCAATGCGTGTTGACCATCCTCGCAATGAACCTTAGCCGTGGGAACGGGAAAAATGCATGCGATCAGAAATGGAGGGCCTATTTGGGGCTTCTCCTCGCTGTTGCCCTCACTTTCGCCGTTCTCCACCGAACCGGGCATCTTCTACACTATGTCTTGGGTGCCCTTGTACTCATAGGAGGCATTGCCAGATATTGGCGGCCCCGGCTGGGGGTTGGAGATCCGCGGCCATTGGTCATCGTGCTACCGAAGAATGCTAAGTTCAGTCCCGAGGCCGACAGACATTGGGAAAGATGTTGAGAAAGACACGTGTTGCGGTTTCGAACCTTCATAACCCTTCCAATGGCTTCCCGTTTTGAACTCCATACAGCTGTGTTTATCTTTGTTTGGACATTGATCCAGGATCACAAATATAAGGCTCTAAGACAGACGCCGCGGGCTCAGCCTTTCATTATTTGTGCTGGGTCGGACGCCGTGGCCAGGTGGAATGCATGGCAGTGCCTTGCTTGCTGGAGCTCTCTGATGAGAAGAAATCTCAACTTTGGTGGCAGCAGGATGACTTTGATGAATTTCTCAAAGTTCGCCTGGAGATTGCCAAAGCCTACAAGGCTGCTGCGCAGACTTTAGGTGTGGAATTCAACTCTGTCTGCAGCGTTGGGGTGCACTCCTTCGCAGGTTATCAGGCCATGCGTGAAGCATATCCCAGTCTAAAGGATGAGTCTCGACGGGGCCTGGGCTTGGGACGGAAACGTTCCCGAGCCAAAAACCGGGTGGCCTACATCTCGGCCGTGACGAAGGAGCAGAGGAGGCAACATGAGTTGGGCATCATGGATGAGGAGGCCTTGGCTCGCGTGGCGTCCCGCTTTTCGAAGAACGATCAGCAGTACGCACATTTTTTGGCACAAACCTACTACGAACAAGATCGTGCAGATGAAGAACATGCCAAAGAGGAGCCAGAAGTGCCCACCGTAGAGCTGAATGAGCTGAACTTGCCTGCTCCGGCCAGAGAGAACGAAAGAGACAGGAGGATGGCATCCAATCAGAGCGTATTGAGTACTAAGGAGGATGATTCACCCTCGAAATTCTGGACTTTTTCCAGGTTCAAAGAGCTCTTGGTGGACTCTTGCTTGAACGATTAACAATCCTGCTTTCAAACGCTTTCAGCAACCTGAAAAACAAAGTTGAAACCTCAAAAGGTACTGGTTCCCTGACCCTGCAGTGTGACCCAGCCATGACCCCATGCGCCATAGGCGCCATGTGCGTGCGCCAAGGATTCCACCAACGAGGCTCCACCATCACCGTCCCCCAGGAGTTCTGCGGCTGTCTCGCGCGCCAAGGGCTTCGGCCTTTCCAAGTCTCAGCTCCAAGCTGCTGGGCTCAGTGCCACGGGCCACGCCCTTTGTAAGTCCTCCAGGCGGCAGTGATGGCTGTTGAGGCTGTTGAGGAAGGTTCATTGAAAGATATAGACAGATATTGACAAGGTTGATGCTGGCTTGGAAAGGGGGAGGATGATGGAAAGAGGATGGAACGATGATAGAAAGATATGGGTATGCCGGCTGAGAAATCCAGTGGCTTAGACTGCCTTAGCGGTCATGCAATTCTGATGTGTAGTGGTTGCAAAGGCAGGGGAAATGCAGAAGTTTCTGTCAGCCTTCAGACGTGGCAGGCCAGCAGCTGATGACTCTCATGACAGCCACTTGCCGCTGTTGGGATATGCTGGGGGTTGCCCATTCAAATCGGAATCCATTGATGATAGTCATTGCACAATGACAGCACAACACATGGAAGTTGAGGGGTCGCAATTTTGCCTGGCACAGTTGCATGTTCATGATTGTTCATCGCCCAGTGACATGGGTAGTGTTAAAAATGGTGGCAAAGTTAAAACCAAAGAAATCAGGTATAGAATCAGACTGTTTGTGTTTATTGTTTTTTTGGCCGCATTCAACTATTCTACAGCCTGGCATCCAGTTTAATCATGTTTAATCCATACCCAGATTCAACCAAGCATTGGGGAGGCTTGCTGGGCTGAGGTGAGATGAGTGGCGCAGAGAGTGAAGCACCTACGGACATGGACTAAGTCCAAGTCCATAATTCTCAGGGCCTTTTATGCCCCCATAATTATGTCGCCCAAAAGTTCAAAATGTGTCGTGCAGCTTGTTGCTAGGGTCCTTTTCAGAAAGGCCAAGTCAGTGGTTCAACATGTTCAAAAGCATCCAACATACGACAGCTGTCTCATTCAGCACTTTTGCATCATGCTTTCCTTTGTTGAGCGGGGGCTTACTCCCCATCAATCCTCACTGAAGGCGCGCGACAAATGGGGACAGAATACCGAATTTTCGTTCAAAAATCGATCACATTTGAAGAGGAGGTCCACCGATCACAGCATAAGTCAGTACAGTACCGCACGTTGCAGTACAGTGTAGGGGGTCCGGCCGACTTTTTTGTGAAAAAAAGGTCCGACACGATTGGTGCACGCCCTGATCCTGCTGTGCTGCGGTCATTGGGGCCGTTCTGCTTGGAGCTGTTGACACTGTTGACAATCAAAATTCTGAGGCCTCTCGTCCAAAGGAACGTGACAGTTTCTCGGCTGCAAAATGTTTTTTCAATATTGCTCATTTTTCAGAGCTTTCTTTGCTGTAACCAATGGATACCAAATGATACCCATGGCAGTTTGGAATGGCATCCCATTTGTCGACGGACCTCAAGTTCCGATTTGCCCTTGGCACTTGGCCCCAATGGACACCCTTCCCATAGTGCAGCCCAGCTGAGGTTTCTCGCGCTGAGTTCAAAATCTTCCGACATTTGAATTTAGCTGGTGATAGCTGCAGGGCACATAGCCACTACTCATCTCATCACTACTCTCCTGGGTACATCACATCCTGCTGTGTTTTTTCTACCTTCCACAGGAAATGGGATACCCCCTGCATCCAAGAATGCACTTCAGAAATGAGGGATAAACATCATCAAACGTGCTGAACATGCAAGATCATGGCCTTTTCAATGATGAATGCTGTTGTTTTTCCTTCGCTACTGAATGACTGGCACGCCGCGCAGCTCCACCAGATCACACTGCTAGTCTTGTACAAAGAAGGCCATCAGGATGGATAGCATGGATTGGATTCCAAGCAAATAACAGAGTCAAGATGGATAGCATTGCTTGTTTTTTTCTGTATGCTATCCCTTGGTTGCAACGGCAATCACCTGATTGTATCTACTTCTCAGGGGAGGCAAAACAAGACTGTAGTATAGATTTGTATATAATAGTTTAATATGTAGCTATATGATATCATATGATTCTTTTCTAATGATATATTATATACATATATCATTTGAATTAATTTGAGGCATTATCACTCCTAATATTCGCCCTCTTCGCATGTTTATTATATTTGGTATTTTGGCAGTACTAAAATCACCAAACGAGACAAGTATGAAAGGTAGTTGCGGGAAGAGTTACTTTGAAATTTGTGATACAAAATAAACGGGAGGCCCTCCAACCTTTGAGGTTGAACAAATGAACAAAGCAAGAAAACATAGTAAACCACGCTCTTTTTGATTGGTTAATGGTATCGCAAGAAGTTGTGATCCTTGCATGGTTGGTCCATGCTTTCACGACCGCAGAATACCACTTGGCCACTTATGCGCTTCGTGCAGCCCAATAAAAACGATCTGACGTAACGATTCGAAATCTAACGACGAAAAACATAGAGAATTATGCATCATCCAAATACCTTTGATTCAGAAAGAGCTGATGATGCTGCAACATCTTAGTCCACGGGACCTGCAAGGGAACAAGTAGCCAACAGATCCACCACTTTCTCGTGAATAGACATGTTTTGTCCCAATGGATCCACCACTTTCTCGTGAATTTGCAAACACCTGTAAATACCATGATCTTTTGGAGTTGACCGATTTACAATCTTTTCTGCTTATGTTGTATCATCCCAGAAGCGAGCCACCCAATTTGTTTTACCTCTATTCCTAATCCGAGTCTTGCGGTCACTGACTTCTCCATATTGGCCCAAAGTTGAGCTCTCACTCTTTGGAACTGTGATTTAGGAGCCTCGGAGCCCTAGCTAGCATGCTCTCCTTCCCTACAAGCATCTCACGCAGAATTTTATATCAAGATGCTATATATAGCAGTGTTCTTCACAAAGCATTCTAGATTGCAGCGTATTTTTTTTTGTCTTTACGTTCTTTTCGTATAAGTATTATATACGCTCTTTGCAAAGGTACGACCAAGTAGTAAGCACAAAATACATCAAAATGCTATGGTGGTTTCGTGATTCTTCGACTTCCCCCTAATTTCTTAAACATATTTTTTGATTGATTAATTCGAGATATCGAAATTTCTGAAAGTAAGAAAATATTGGGTGAAAGCCCTTTCTTGTCTCAGATAGCACTTTGTTGTTTCATCTCGGTGTGCCATGCGGAAGAAGTGACACAACCACTGGAATGAATTACTACATAATTTGTTATTTGGTATGATCCTTAACATGGCAAATATTAGTTATATCAAATTATATCCGTTTGACCCCTAACACTCCCTGGAGCAACGTAAGTTTCCTACACCGTGTGTACACACTCCGGGCTCTTGTGATCGGTCCTCCTCCTCCTCCTTTTCCTCTTCCTCCTCCTCAGTATCATTATTTTCCTCCTCCTCCACATCATCATTCTCAGGATCTTCGTTCTCCCCCTTGACATCATCATCCTTAATATCGTCATCCTCCACTTCATTTTTTGCACCATCCTCCTCTACCTCCTCTTCCGCAACATTAATTATTATCCTTTTTATCCTCAACATCATTATCTTCCTCCTTCTTAACATCGTCATCCTCCACCTCATTATCCTCCTCTACCTTATCTTCCGCAACACCATCCTCCTCCACCTCATCTTCCGGACCTTATTGCTTGTTTTAATGCCTGACTAAGCTTTTGGCCTGGAATGGCTTTTGGCGGTGTACTATTGGGATTTGACTCCGAGTTGACAGATCGTACCTTCCCATATTCTGATTCCTAGCATAGCTAAATGCAACCAGGGACATGATTCAAAATTGAAACGGTTTCGTGAAAATTTTCCAGTTTCCTGTAAGTGTGCTATTGGGATTTTAGGATTCTGAGAATAGACACCCTTTATTTTATTTCTTTTGGAGATACCAGAACGCAAGCTGGCGATACTATTTCAATGCTTGGCTAACCTTTTGACTTGGAATTGCTTTTGGCGGTGCGCCATTGGGATTTAACTCCAAGTTGACAGGTCGCACCTTCCCATTTTCTGATTCTGGGCATAGCTAAATGCAAGCTAGGGACATGCTTTAAATTTTGCAATGACTTCAAAACATGACGCATCTGAGCCGCTGTACCTCGGGGATTTGAAACCTGGGGTAACTATTGTTTGCCCTGGGGTAATTGGGTGCGCCTTGCAGATGAGGTAACTACTATATGGATGGGGTAAGTAAGGATGTCCGCTTGTAATATGTTTAATTTCCAGGATTTTGATTATTTTGGACATAATTATGAGAAAAAATAAAATTAAAATAGATAATTATTTAATTATCTTTAATAATTTCCTTTGATTTAATTAAAATACGAATCAGGAGGAAATCAACACCTAAAAATATTTTTTAATATATAATTTTGGAAATATAAATTATAAAATTAAATATTATAAAGATTTAAAGATATTTACAATACCAGTAGTACCGCACAAGGCGGTGGCGGAAGTTTCAAAAATAGGAAACCTATAGGAGAGATTGGTTGTTGTGAATTAGGGATGGCAGAGCGAATCCATTGATGGACCGAAAGGTGCTTGAGGGCTCCTCTCTTTCTCTCTTTTTCTCTGACTATCTACCTACCTATCTATCGTCTATGTATCTATCTATCGATCTATCTATCTATCTATCTCTCTATCTCTCTCTCTATCTACCTATCTATCTATCTATGTATCTATCTATCTCTCTCTCTCTCTATCTCTCTATCTCTCTATCTATCTATCTATCTATCTCTCTCTCTCTCTTTTTCATCTAATTACCTATCTATTTATCTACCTACATACCTATCTATCTATCTCTCTTTTTCTCTTTCATCTGTCTAGCTGTTTATCTGTCTATCTATCTATCTATCTGTCTACCTGTCTATCCGTGGTGCAGTGTCATTCAGTGTAATCTAGTGTAATGTAGTGTAGTGTAGTAGTATAGTGGAGTGTGGTGTAATGTAACGTAGTGTAGTGAAGCGAA